TCAGGATCTGCGCGCGCGGCATTGTCAGGGTGCGCGGCGCTGTTGTCATTGGCCAGCCCTTGGATGCTGGCGAGAGGTATCGGTGGGGCGACAGAGGCACATGCGCGCTTGTCGCTTGGCGCAGCCAAGACCACGGGGCCGACCATGGCGCTAGGCATTGTGAGGCTTGCTAGGCCGCCATGGGGCGCGGCCAAGGGGTCATGGGGCATGTCTGGAAAGCAGCCCATGATAGTGTATACGCAAATCTGAAGTGTAATAAATATCCAATTAAATGTTGCCACCTGATTTTCCATCCATGTCAAACGGATCAATACTAAAATATTTGAACTGTCTGTATTTGGGTAAAATTAATATCACGCTTCTTATTTTCTCACTGTCACAAATCCCTAATCGTAATAGTACTCTAAGCTCCTTCCCAAGTCCCTAATCGCACTCGATTATCGGTGGTTTCTTCATCATCTGAAGACGAGAATCACATATTCATCAGCTATTTCTTCAGATTCATCAACATTTGAGATTGATTTGAAGAGTAGCTTTGATTGTTGTTGGCCTTCGAAGTAACTACTGTTTATTAGCGTGGTTCTTGTACTGGTAAGTATCGATTTGTCCATAATTTTCTTTGAGACGTGGATTCACTTCAAACTTCAAGATTAGATGAAATAAATCCACAAAAAAATTAATCAAATTAAATAAAGGAACAACAAAATTGCAAAACTTTGAAGCTTTCTGGATGGCCCAGTATGAAATCAGATAAAAGCTTTGGAGCTTTGAAAATAAAGATGAGGCAAGGGAAGGAAATAATGTGATGAAATAATGGGGAAGGAAGTTTGAGGATTAAATATGGGGCCAACAGTAATTTTATTACCGTTGGAGAAGGAGTTTTGCCCCAAAAAAGTTGCCTCACGAGCCCTACCAGGTGAGGCAATTTACATTATGTGACTAATCAGCTTTTGTGTTAAAGTGACACATGAGAAATAAGGGTGAAGTGCCAAAATGGAACAAGATTAAAATAAAGTGCCAAAATGAAAAATGGTGGCAAGTTGAATGGGTTATCTATATATTTGGCCAAAAATAAAAGAAAAACAAATGTGATAACTTAATTCAAGATAAGTCAAATGAAAGTAATTCAGCTTGAAAATTAAAACCTTTACAGCTCATGATAATTTTTCTTGTAGACTTTCTTAAAATCTTAACACGAAATTATTTTGGCTTAAAACTAAGTATAAACGACGAGTGAATTTTCAAGTCGATAACTATGTGGTCAGGAGTTCACTGAAGCTTGAACTCATGACACCAAACTGTGGATTGGAGTGCACTAAATTTTGATTACAATTGCAGCAGCTAAAATTCTGTAGACATTAAATTTTTTATTAAGTTCAAATCCATAAAAAAATTGGATTTTATCATAAATTGAACATATATTAGTCGAGATAAATATTATAAGCTAGTATAGTTGGATTAATTAGTTAAATCTAATTAATTTAATTTAAATAAATGTCCAATATACTATTCAACATGCTCAATAGTTGGCCTTTTATCAAATGGGTCAGCCTATGGGGAGAAATTCAAAAATAGCCAGATTTATAGCTGGTCGTTCAAAAATAGTCTTGTTTCAAAAGTAATTGAAATTTAACCACTTTTCATGTAAAGATAAATCTGAGCGAAAACACTATTCAAAACCCGGAAAATACGCTAGTATATTATACTGGAGTTCTAGCATAAGTATTCTTGAACTCCAGCATATTATACTGGAGTTCCAGGATAAGTATGCTGGAACTCCAGCATAATATGATGGAGTTCCAGCATAAGTACACTAGAACTCCAGCATAATATGCTGGAGTTCCAGCAAGTATAATTGTCGAGTATAATATACTGGAGTTTGGAGCACCGGTGCTCCAGTCTCCAGTATATTATATTGGAGTCAACAAAGTATACCGGTCCAGCATAATATGCTGGAGTTCATACACAAGTGCACCGAACTCCAGTATATTATGCTGGACCGGTCTCTGTTGCAGCAAAATAGTGGCCATTTTTCATTGATTTCATAAACGTTGGCTATTTTTAAATGACCAGTCCGAAAACTGGCTATACTGTGCTATTTTTACCAACCTATGAGCCCGAAGCGCAATGGCTCAAAGTTATACTTAACATAGTGTGATATTATTTGTTTTGGGCCAAACCCGCATGGTCTTCCAAAAATGTCTCACACCATTAAGAGATCGTTATATATATATATATATATATATATGCTCCCAATATTTTCAGCTAATAATATGAGATTTTGTTCGCACACTCAACTTGTTGCGGAAGATTGTGGGTTAATTAACTTGCACACAATCACATATAAAGTAAATAGATAACGAAAAAATAACACAATAATTTAATGAGGTTCGGGTAAGCCTAATCCTCGGAGCAGAAGCAAAGAGAGCTTTTCAATATAAATAAGAAGAACAACATTTAAATAAAACAAGGTTTTACGTTCAATGAGCATATGTACATGTTTGAATTGAGATATACAATTTTAATTTTATAATGGAACGTGTAAAACAAACAAACAGAAAAAGGTTTGATGAGAAAAATGCATATAAAGACAAGATTCGAGATGTGGGAAATTAGAACGTGTTATTAAGAATTAACATGAGCAGGAGAAGGAGTATTTCTACAAACAGGACAAGTACCATTGATCTTTAACCATTCATCAATGCATTCTGCATGGAAACAATGTTCACACTCAGGTATGCATCTCACTGTCTCTTTAGGATGGTACTCTGCCAAACATATTGGACAAGTTCCATGATTTGGCCCTGGAACTCTCCGACTTTCTCCTAGCACAACTTTTGTGTAGGATTCGATCGTCGATTCGTCGAGGCCGGTGGTCGTTTCCGGTTGTGGTGCTACGGCGGCTGCTGTAGCGGCCGTAGTGTTCTGGACTGCAGCCGCTGCTCGGCGGTTGTATCGGCTTTGCTCAAAGCAAATGTAACATGTCACACCAAATGAACATGTGATGGCTGGTATCACTAAAGATAGTGCAATAATTCGGAAAATTTGTATACCTCGTGTATGGCCTGCAAGTAAAATTATGGTAATGTTAAGGCCAAAAAAATTAAATTAAAATGTCTCTGTCATGTTTGCTTCTATTTCTGTTGTGCCTAAGAGTAACGTAGACTTCTTTACCTGCTAAACTAAGTAAATATTGCTAATAAAACCTGATGTAATTTGAACGCAAGGAATGTGACGCACTCGCTATCTTTAACTCAAGTTATACATATACTTAAATTTTTTAACAATACATAATTATGGAGTATTAAGTTTAAACCCATTTTCATAAAGAAATAACGTGTGCAGCGATAATTGTACCCATTAGGTTAAAATTTAGATCAGATTCTCTCAGCTAAAGTAATATTAATCCAAATCAATTTCAATAATTTTGAATTTATCAACTATCAAGTTGTTAAAATTAAAACCTATAAGTTATAGAATGGCATATATACATCATTATCTGCACGATCTCAGCCGATAGAAAAGTTGGTGAAATAATAATACATAAACACTTAAATATTAGTCTTATTCCTCCATAAGTTTGACATTTGAGTACTATATATGTTAAAAGCTTAATTAAAGAGGGCAACTTGACCCAATCAAGGTCAAAATGTGCTTAGCCGCATTGGTTTTTATCCGTTAAATACTCTCAGCTAACCCTGGTTACTTGTAAAGTACAATCACTTCGAAGTTTAAATAAAGAAATCAGTCTAACTATAATGAATCTTCTTAATACTAAATCAGAATGATTACGAAGGATTGCTCAGAGGCGGATCCAGGATTTAAAACTTATGGGTTTAATGTTCTAATCCTTTTAAGTTACTGGCTTCTAAACTAATAACTTTTATATATTCAATGAATTTTTTAAGATAAATACATGATTTAAACCAAAGCTATTAGGTTTGGCCGAACACGTATACGATATGCTGGCTGCGCCCCTGTTGCTCAATGTCCTATCTATATTTAAGTAAAGTAGCGTCATGAACAATAGGTTAACGATCGACCAGTACTCCACCATTTGTTGGATGTTCAAATAAAGTTTCACATTAAGAATCGACAAGAAAAAGAAGTTAATATAAGGTGTATGCATATTTTTAGAGATCTTTACATAAATATATATATGTAAATATATATATATATATATATAT